ACGCGGCCGCTCCTCAGCCTTCTCGCTCTCACGACCGCCCCACCTCGTCCCGGTCCACAGGCCGCTCCGCCCCGCCCACATCCCGGCGTACCTGCGCGGCTGAGCTGGCGAGGAACAGGCTCTGCTCCACCGGACAGAAGGCGGCAGGAACCCTCACGCAAGTGCGTCCGCACACACGCGTGCTCCGCCGCCGGCCTATATAACGGCGGCTCAGCCTAGCGTGATGCGTCCAGTCCGGGCGAGAGCGTGACCAATGCCGACCGCGTCCTCTGAGCTCCTCGGACAACAATTGGGTATTGACTCAGGAAAAAGGCGTGGCTCTTAATTGACTTTGAGTCGTGCCTATGAGACTCTGAGGATCTCGCTTCTCCTAGTAACGGATTGGCATTAAGAAACACCAATAACTCCAAAGAGTACTGGAAAAGAGGACGGGCGGCTCCTTGACCGATACTGGCGGTAGCCAATAACTGCATGGATCTGCTTTTATTGGTTAAAACGCCTTCCGTTGGGCGGAGATCCGCTTTCCGTGCAGGGGCGGTTGCTCTACAAGGTGGGGCCCGTGTACTTTGGGGAAGTAAACCCCAAGCAACTAAGAGGTGGGCACTGGAGAAACCTAGTTAGCCGGCCGACCAATGGCAACGCCGTAAGGAGCTGATGGACACGGGGGTTGGACTGTTCCAGAGAGACAGAGCCCCAGGGCCGCGGTTCTCCCTGGAGTGGTTAGGAAGACGCAGCGCCGCCTGCGGCTTGCGTCCCCGTCCCTTCCTTTTGCTCATTTGTTAAGAATTCGGTTCCTGAAGTCGCCTTTTCCTGCATATTGGCACGCGGGGAACCGAGTGGCAAAGTTTCTCTGGTTTTGTTCTCCTCTTTGAACAACTTCCTGTCCCTGCGCCGCATGAGAGCCCTAGCAGGCTCCTGTAGTCGGTCAGCACCATGGCGGGCGGCCTTGAAGGAAAGCAAGGTTCCCTGCGCGGTGCTGCCCACTCGGGCCGAACCCCCGCGCAGCCGCAGTGCGTCCGCCGC